CTAAATGCTTCACACAGGAGCTCATGTCACCCTCTCAATGACCTCAAAGGCAGGAGTAGGACCATTACTATTTAATGGAGCAGAAGCCTGAGGTTCTGAGGTGTGTGGCTTTTGCTGGCTGCATACCTACATTGTCCACAGCCAGAATGGTCTTTTAAAAACAAAAGCTGATCTTGGGCAACCCTGCCTTGCCTTCCCCCTACGCCAGTGGCTCTCCATGGCCCTGGTCCCTCCAACGTGTCCAATGTCATCTCTCACCTCACTCTCTCTCATATTTTCTGCACTAGAAACACACTGGCCTTCTTTTCAGCCCCTAGTATGGCACGCTTTCCCCTGAACCACAGGGCATTTGCACATACCGTTCCTGCTGAGTAGAACATCTTTTGCTCCACCCTTCCCAGATGGGCTCCCACACATCCTTCCTCCGAGTAGCCTGTCCCCTTGACCAGGTCAGAATTCCACCACCCACAACAGTGTCAGCACTTGTACCTCTCTTTTGTGGCCCTTGTACTAGTAAGACATTCACCAAAAAATCCATGCAGTCTGTTAAAAAGATCTCTCTCCCCACCAGACTCTAAGCTCCATGAGGGCAGGGCCTGTGCTGTTTTTCCTCACTGCTTTATTCCCAGGTCTTAGCACACTGCCTGGCACACAGTAGACACTCAATTAACCACCATAATGAATGAACAGATGCAGAAAGTGATGGATCTAGGGTTTGAACCCACAGATCTCAGATGCTAAACCTGGGCTTTCAGCCTGGCCACGCTGGGCTTCCTGGGAAGGCATGCCTTGGGAGCAGAAGGTTGGGGTTTCCAAGCATTCAGGGGTCATCACCAAGTTGGGGCTGAAGGCGGGTTGGGGGTGGGGGCAGCAGACATTGTCCCCGAACGAGTGGGATGAAAGCATCTGTGGGGGGAGGGGCCGGCTCGAGCTAATCCTGCCCTGAAAGGGTTAATGGAGGTCTGCAGAGGCCTTCCCACCATCCCCCTCTGACCATCACATGGTCCGTAGTGATGGCTGCATAGTCCTGTTATGTGCACATACTTCAGTTCATTTAAGTAAGGTACTAGGAGGGGCATTTACAGAGTGCCACTGTTGTGCTGTTACAGCAATACCACCATAAACGTCCTTATACAGTGGACTGATGAGTGCATTTTTATTTGCAAATGATAGAGACCTAATGCAAACTGGCTTCATTATAAAGGGGAATGTATTAGTTCACGTAGCTGAAAAGTCTAAGTACGGCTTCGACTTCAACAGCAGAATCCTGGTGTTCCTATGCAGCCATCTCTCTCTCTCTCTCTCTCTCTCTCTGTCTCTCTCTCCCTCCCTCTCCCTCCCCCCCACTCCCCTCTCTTCACTCTCTCCCCCACTCTCCTCTCTCACTCACTCACTCTCTCTCTCTCTCTCTCTCTTTCCTGTCTTTGCTCCTCTCTGTATGGTTTTGTTCTCAGACAGGCTCTCCCCAGATGAAGGCAAGACAGCCACCATCTATTCCAGGCTTATATCCTATGAGCTAAACCTTCCCAGGAAAAAGAGGTTGTTAATTTCTCATTAATTCCAGCAAAGGTCCTGGAATAGAGTCTAATTGGCCTGGCTTGAATCTCTTATATGTTCAACTTTGCACACATATGAGGATAGACCTGTAGCATATTTTCTTAAAAGTGAGATGGTAGGCCAAAGGGAATGCTTGTTTGTGGCATATCCAGTCTTCTCTGCCCACACTTGTGCATCGTGAAAGTTTTTGGCTTCATGGCAGGAGAGGAGGTAAGGGAAGCTTCTGACCAGGTTGTGGTAGGGACAATACAGACATCTACCTAGTGATGGTTGTCATGGTCCTCGTGGTACCCAAGTGGCTTCAAAAAGAAGCAGACTCCTGGCCTGGCAACCAGTCTCTGCTGAGTGTCTTACCCAGTACCAACTGACTTTGCCAACATCATAGCACGTCACTCCTCTGCTTTCTGACCACACCAGATCCCTCACTGTGCCCAAGCATGATACCTATGGGTATCCTTAGAAAATAGAGCACAAAACTCAAGTGCTGACATTTCCTGAGTTCAATCCCGGGAAAGCAGGACTAAGGGGAAAAGGGAGTGAGAGAGGGAAGGAGGGAGAACAAATGTAGGGAAGAGTGTTGTGAGCTGGCCATGGCACGTTCCCAGCACAGCTGGCTTCTTGGTCTTGCCAGACATCTTCAGAGAGGCTGTATGAGGCTACTGGGTCTTCAAACAGTCCTGAGGAGGAAAGGAGAAGAAAAATTTGTCCGCTGGCTTCTGTCTCATTCGTGGGAGTTCAGAGCATCAATTCCTGTGTCCTTCTGAGCTGTGCTACCTGGCCCTCCAGCAGTCACCAAGGAAGCCACATCCCAAGACAGCAGTAGTGATGTCTGCATTTGGGGTGGACATGCTGGGTGAGCTGGCGAGCAGGCACACAGCAGCAGCTCTCCCTGTGTGCCCACCTGTAGCCTGCAACCTCACAGGCCTGGGGGAATGCCCTGGTTAGTGTGCCTGGGTGGGAAGTCCCCGGGTAAGGGGTGAGGTCTGGCCATGCTGTGAGTGACAGGAGGCACCAGAAACAGCCATCAGGACAAGGGAAGCCAGAAAGCAAGGCAAGTGGGCAGATCTGAGCTGGTGTGTAAACTGAGGCTAGAAGCAGTTCCTCTGTACTATTGCACTGAGCAGTTACCTTCCCTAGGCAAGGCTTTCATTGCACATCTGCCTGTCTAATCGTCATATATTCATTTGCTCATCCACTCATTATTGCATGCCTACCATGCTGTGGAGTGTGGGGATACAGCGTTACCTTAGATACAACCCCTGGCCTCAGGCAGCTCAGTGTCTAGTGGTGGCAGGGAGACCCATGAAAAGTGACTGTATCACAATGTGATGGGTACAGTGATAGAAATAGGCCTGTGATATCAAGTGAGCACCATAAAAAGACACTATGTGGAGGGACACAAAACCCAAAGCAAGAGTTGCTTAAACAAGGTAAAAGTTTATTTTTCTCTCTAGGTTTTCCATCCATGACTAATGTGGCAGCTCTGCTCCATTAAACCCTCAGGAACCAGGTTCCTTTCATTCCTAGCCTGTGGCTTTCATATCTTTATCTAAGAGGGTAGTACTGTTCCAGGTAGCAGGATGCAAGAAGAGATGAAGAGGCAAAGGGCACACTCCAGTGCTCTCTTAAAAAAGGTTCCTGGAGGCTGGCATGTGTCACTTTTGCCTACATTCCATTGGCCAGAACTTAGTCACTTGACACATCTAGCTGCAATGGAGGCTGGGAAATGTAGTTTTTCTCTCGACTATTTACCGAGCTAAAAGTTCTGTTACTGTGGGAGAAGAAAAGACACCTGGCAGTCTCTACCACAGACATATGACACAAGGAGGTGGTGGTGGGGATTGGAGAGGTTTCTTGGAGAGGGTGGCACCTGAGGTGTCTTAAAAGATGAACTGGGGCTGGCCGTTCTCAGAGGAGGGGGAAGGACCTTCCAGACAGAGGGGACTGAAATGCAGAGCACAGTGTTGAAATACAGCAGCATACTTACGCTTGTGTGCACAGGTGTGTGTGTGTGTACCTGGAGGGCAAAGTCAGGAGCTGGTGCTAGAAAGATAGAAAGTCTCAAGTCGTGTGCCTGTGCACCTCAGAAAAACGGCATTTTGGCTTTATCGCCAAGTGCAGTGTGGAGTCTGAACTGCACTGGAATGTAGTTCAGTTTCTAAGCTGAAATGCTGAGGAAGTCAAATCTATAAGGGAAGATGAGAGGGAGAGGAAGAGGGAGGAGGGGAGGAGGCCTTTGAGGCTCCTGGGACGGTGAGTGGTGGGCGGAAGAGGACCGGGCTGGAGTCGGGAGGGGGAGACTGGGTTCACTTGGTTGAATATGAGGAAGTTAGCCAGGGGTGTAGAGAGCAGTGGGGGTGGAAGAGCGTCCAGGGAAGGGAGGGTACAGGAGCTGGCCAGAGAGAAGGCCGGAGACTGAGTTTGGGTTGTGTGTGTGTTTGTGGCAGTGTGTGAGTATGTGGGCATGAGTGTGTGTGAATGTATGAGTGAGGTTCAGCGGTGGAGCAGTCACAGACAACGACCCCCTCTAGAGTGTGGCGCTGAGGGGCACAACTCACGTGGCAAGAGGTGAAGGTCCCTTGGAATCACTTAGGCAGGCCTGGAGCTGGGACCAGCAATTGGGCGTGAAGGCTGGCGGTCCTCCCAGGCATTGAGATCTTCCGAGGCAAGGTGGTTGGAGCATCACACGAATCCAGAACTAGCCGCTCTGTTATTACGGTGACTGTTACCATCCTTGTCATCGTTGTCGGGTAGCTGGGGTGAGGGATGTGTGCGTGCCATCTGGCAGCTTAGAGAGCTATTGCTTCACGTGTTTGCTCCTAGATATGGAAACACGTCCCTGGGCAGATCAAGGACGGGAGCCAGGCCTGCTCCAGGCCACAGTCATGCACTGTGGGTCAAGGTGCCAGTGCCTGTGATCCAGTGGGGTGTGGGTCGCTAGGAGACCGGGCAGGCCTCTGCCTGGCGGAAAGCTCCCTGCATGGTGGACTGGGCGCTGGGGCCTGCTCTGCCGGTGCCCCAGGGATAATAAGGACTTCAGAAAGGACAGCCCTGACTCAGGGCTGAAAGAGGCTTTAGTTTCTTGTTTGGCGGCTTAAAAAAAGGCAAATAGAAGCTTTTCTCCTATGGGGATCAGTGTGAATCCCAGAAAATCCCATTATTTTCCTTTGAGATCAGTGGCCTGCTCTTGAGGGCTTTCTCTTCCCCAAGGCAACAGCCCTTTCCTTGCTCTGTGTGAGTATCCTGCCCCTGTGTGGCCCCAGAATGGGCTGAGGTAAGGCGGGGGAGAGAAGGGGGCACAGGTGAGCCCCAGCTTACAGCTGTTTCCTCCTGCTGGCTACCCATCTCTTATTCCAATCTGATCCCTCCCCACCCCTAAGAGCAAGGGAGGGGGTGGGCCAACAAAGCCACTAGAAAAATGATTTTATGTTCTTCTCTTCCAGGAAGCCATTTATGACCCCAGATGCCTGAGATGTCCTGCTTCTCTAGACTGCTGCTTCATATGGGGTCTGCACCAGGGTTGTCTAAAATTATAGTGAGTATGACGCATTGCATTATGGAAGGATGATCATGATGGTGATAGATGACAAGTATGAGCCTTTACCGTGGTGCCTGGTACCAGGCTAAGCTCCTTTAATGTGTCCAACAACTCAGTGAAGAAGGTGTTATTACTATCCCCACTTTACAGATGAGGAGACTGAGGCATGGAGAGGCCAAGTGTATTAGTCAACACAGGCTGCCATACAAAATATCATTGACTGAGAGGCTTATGCAACAGAAGTTTATTTTCTCACAATTCTGGAAGCTGGAGGTCTGAGATTAAGGTGTTGGCATGGTCGGGTCCTAGCAAGAGCTCTTCTCCTGGCTTGCAGACAGCTGCCTTCTGGCTGGGTCATCACGTGGCAGAGAGACAGACAGAGAGAGACAGAGATATTATTCTCTCCTCCTCTGATAAGGCCACCAAACCCATCGGAGTAGAACCCCACCCTTATGACCTCACTTAACCTTAATTACCTCCTAAAAGCCCTATCTCCAGATACAGTCAAGTTGGAGGTTAGAGCTCTAACATATGAATCTTGGGACATTTGAATCTTGGGGGTGGGGCTGACACAATTCAGTTCTTAGCACCAAGTCACTCATCCATGGGCATGCATGGTAAGTGATAGAGCACTGCCACGTCCAGAGGAAAGTAAGGAATCTACTCTGCACTCTTAAATTTTCTGAGAAGTTGCCCCTATCGGGCATTCCATTCAGATAAAAAAAAAAAAAAACCAGTTTAACTTTTCCAAAAAGAAAATCTATCAAGCCCGCCTGAGCGCTTATCCAAATTGGTCACCAAGAGCCAGCCACACATCCAATAACTAGCCAGGGGCCTCCTTTCCAAAGTCTTCATCCAAACCTGCCCATCCTGGGTTCGTGTCTCTGGCTGTGTGCTGAGCCAGGGACCAGGGCAATACCCACCACAGTGGAGACCACTCCTGAGGGCTTGCTTGCCGCGTGCCGACCCCGTGCCAGATGCTTTCGCAAGCACCTAGCCTCTACAAGAATCCTGACCATTTGACAGGCGAGGAAGTAGAGTCCAGAGCAGGGTTAGGTATCCTACCTTGTGAGTGCAGCGCCAAGACTGGAACCGGGGGTCTGTTTGACTCCCGGGCTCACTCTGCGATCCACCAGGTCCCAGGCATAGTTTGGCAACATACCCTATGCAGCCTGGACATTTTTCCCTGCTGGCTGCTTCTCAGTGCTGCTCCCAGAAAGGGCCAATTTCTTTGAAGTGACTTCTAAATAGGTGAGGTGTTGGTGATCGCCCTTTCCCGTCCTGTCTAATTCAGGCGAATACTGACGGGGGTACGAGACGCACAAGCCCTGCTTTCTGGAGCGCCATTTGACTCTTAAGACACTCACATACAAAAGCACGTGGACACACAGTAGCTGCAAGGAGGTCTTTTGGAGATGTGCTCTAATGAATAGAGAAGAAGGATCTTTCATTAGCATAACAAGAGTTCGCAATGAAATAGGTGCTCCAGAGAGCACTTGAAAGTTGTTTGTTCTTTCAAGTAGGCTAAAAGTCCCCAGCTCTGCGGAGCCCTCTTCAGCCTGGACCTCTCCTGGAGGAGTCTGGTATAGGCCTTTGGGATTTTTAAACCCAGCTTCTTTCCCCCGAGTCCTGGGAGCATTTTGCACATCCCAGGAGTGGGCTTTGGTCTGGGGAATGTGGACAGAGCGGTCCTCATGGGAGACTGGGCCTGGGCCAGCTCTTCCCTCCTGCAGCAATTATCCTACTGGGGATGGCTGCCTTTCTCCCTCCGGGGTTCCCTTCACTGGGGCAAGGCTGATCAGCTTAAAGGGGCTCTGTCCCTACTGGGCCTCTTGGCCTCTCTGTCCCCCCAGGTGGCCTCCGTGGAGACTGATGCCAGATTTGTACTCACTTAGCCTGGGAGAAGGAGTTGAGGCCAAGAGGGGACTGATGGCCAGAGATCAAAGGTTAAGAGGGGTTAAGCCTTCACCCTAGAAGGTCACCCATCAGCCCTGAGACAAGTATCTCACCAGTATTTTCCTGAAACCTAGAGCAGAGGTAGGCCTGCAGGGAATGACCATTCATTTACTAAGGAAGCACCATCTTCCTGGTGTGGATGGTCCATGGCCCAGCTTCTCATTATTAACTCTCTGGCTCTGATTTTGGACAAGTCACTGCCTCTTTGGCCCTCCCTTTCCCCATCTTTCCAATAAGGAGCTTGGACTTGATTGACAGTCAACGGCAGATGGTTCATTGTCTTGAAACATTCGAGTCCTGAAATGTAATTTCTGCTCTTAGGCAGTGAGAGGAAGTTAGGCGAGGCAAGGTGGATAAGAGGGGAGATGGTTGGCCCTGACCAGCATTCTTGCAGGGGCTATAACATGTTTTCCCGGGGATCTCAATGATCAAGGTAGACCCTGCTAGACTCTGATGGAGAAATGAAGGGAGATGAGCCCCAAGCGGAGTCTCAGCCTCTCCCACCTGCCCATCTGGATGGCTCTGATTCAGAGGGGCTGGAGTCCATCGGGTCCCACTAGTGAGGTGAGATCAAAGCATTAGGGGGCTGGTTTGTCCTGAGAACACGGAGAAGTCCCTCCAGTGGGGGTGTGGGGGATATTCTTGCCTCTGACCAGTTAGGCACAGCACCAAGGTGTACCTATCAGGAAGGTTGTATCCTTGCCACCTGTGCAGGCCCAGAGGTGGTGTGGGGGACTGTAGAAAGCACCGAGTAGGCCACACTTGTGATGAGCGCCCTGGGGGCAAGACACGGAGGAGAAGGAAATGAAGGGAAGATAAAGAACTCCATGGGTCCCTCCCCTCAAGGGCCTTTCTGTCCCCATTCCAAGGAGTGCTCACACCTCCTCTCCAGGGTGCTTGGGTCCAGGCCTCAGGCTCCTCCAGGCCTGCCCTCTCCCATCTTGGTGGGTAGGAGGGAAGCAGCTGGCCTGAGGTAGGGCACCAGCTTTGGACAGAGGGATGACCAGGGGCCTGGTGGGCTTCACAGCACGGCTCTGGAGGCAGGAGGATTGGGGACCAATCCCAGGCTCATCACTGGTTGTGAAACTTGGGCAGGTCACTCAGCTTTTCTGGGCTGCTCTGTGTGCTCTCCATGTCTACACTGGGGTAATAATGAAGTGTCAATGAGGTAAGCATGGGAAAGCACTTAGGCAGTGTCTGCAACATGATGAGTCCTCCATAGAGCATTATAAAAATACCAAGGAGGGCTTCCCTGGTGGCGCAGTGGTTGAGAGTCCGCCTGCTGATGCAGGGGACACAGGTTCGTGGCCC